GAGAAGTTTAATATATAATTAAAGCACATTAAATGGAATGTATTTACAGATGCAAGACAAAACGTATTTATCAATTGGACATGCATAACCAATTGAATGACTCCAGACTTTGTTGATAAAGAAAGCAAGTTGATCCAAGTGAACATGAGAATAAATGTATAATTTGCCATCCTCTGTAGTGGGTTCAAATGACTAACCAAAAGGTAGAGGTCACACACTATTCTCTTCCTTATACATTCACTAATGATCATCTAAACAAGACTAGTGTGGCATAATTTAACATTTCCAAGTTCTACGGATTTATACAAAGATAGCTTTCATTTCAAACCAGTGTCTCAAACTTCTCAATCAAGTTTTGAATGTAAAACCCAATAAGCTGGAATCACCTAAAACCTACAGCCGGGTTAGTCAATTCCATTTTCTTAAAAATGTGGATCCCAAATGATTCTTACGCACCCTAATATTTTTTTCTTATTTAGTAATTATTAATTGGAAGGATGAAATGGTAAAAAATGTGTAATTCATTTTTGACAAGGAGTTATCAAAACCTGAACATTAATTCAGAAACAAAATATAAATTATATTATTTGTTTATTTAAAACATTTTCACACTGTTTCCCATTAGAAGAAATCCTGAAGTAGTTTACAATGATTGATGATGATGATGATGATAGAAGACAAGGCCAAACAGACAATTTCATTCATCATGGCTTTGAATGTTTAGCTGTTGAACTGCTGAATTTCAAACTCAATCTAATTAACCATATTTATGACACTGAGCTGGCATTACCATTTCTTTTTTCCTACTAGATCCTCATCTTTTAACAGCTGTAATGCAAAATGGCATAGTCTTATCAATTCTGGAAGCAGTGGTATCTATGAAATCTGGCTTACTCTATTATCAAAATGTGCTTTTTTAAAACTTAGCCATATTTCCATTTTATCATAAACAATATGAACATAACTTTATCTTCTTTTTCAAATAATATGGAAGAAAGAAAAATATGGAAGAAAGCAAAACATGGAAGAAAGTAAAACTGCATCCATCCATAGTTGGAACAACTTTTTAAACAGAGACAAAAAGCAAAGAGAAAAGACAGTCATACCCAAAAAACTACTTACGAATTTGGCATATGAGGCCTGCCCATCCTTCTGAGCACTGGCAAACATTAGGCCCTATGCATTCACCTCCATTCGTGCAGCTGGGTAGACACACAGCTGAAAAAGAAAATAAAGGTGGAGAGAGCAAATAAGATCTTTATGATGACCCGTGAGTTTTAAGTCACTTTAGTGAGTGATATGTCATCTTCGCTTCCTACAATTATTTTCAAAATAGCTTGATCTCAAAAGAGCTTAATGAGCATTCTTCATGAGGCAATTAGCATTCCGAAATGTCCATGATTAGCAAGTTCCCCCCTTAATCTCTGCTACTCTGACTTCTAGTTTCATCATGGATTTGTTCCAAAGGCAGATTCCCTAGTCATTAAATTTTCATTTTCTATTAAGTCTGAAATCCTTAATTGATTGAGTGATTAACAGAGTAACCCATTAATTTCAGACTGAACACGAGGATATTAAATGGTGCTTTAATCAGATCAGTGCCCTTTGTAGGACGCTGAGTGGCATAGTGGTTGTAAAGTAGCCTTGTTTACCATGTAAACAATCTTTTAGGCAAGGACAGTTAAAAATAGCAGATCTACCGCACTAATTCACGCATCTCCTGGAGTCCCTAGGCCTACAGGAATAACCAAGTTTAAAAGTTGCCTAAAAGGCTGACAGTTTTTGCCAGACAGAAATGAAGGACTTTTATTGTTACACTGGGAAGCCTAAAATGTTGTACTGATTTGAATGACCAAATGGTGGGCTACTGCCGGTTCAGACCGGTTCTAAAGAACCTGTAGTTCTGACCATCAGCTGGCCCTACCCACCTGGGCCTGCCCTATCCTATCCTATATTTCCATCTTTCTGGCTCATCTGATTCGGACAGCACAGCTAATTTTCATGCCTCAGTTGTTTTACTTACTGGGGCTGCCCTAGAAGGTAAGCAGTTGAGCTTCAAATTGCTGTATTTGGAACACTGTGCATGCAAAGCACACACTCACAGAACCGGTTGTTAAACCGGTTGCAGCCCACCACTGACCAAAACATAACCCCATTCAAAGTTCCAAAAACAGCCAAACTAAATAATTAGCTTTAAAGCAGATTACCATTTGTGCTGGTGCACTTGAACAAACAACAAATAGCATATTTGAATCACGTATATACTCACGTATACTACAATGCTTTCCTTTCCAGCCAAATGGGCAGTCACAAACATTGGGCCTGGTGCATCTCCCACCATGCATACACATTGGATGGCAGATACCTGCAATGTCATAGAATTAAAGAGAGATGTCACATGAAGAACAGTCAAAACTTTTTTCTCTCTCTTCCCCCCCCCCCCCCTAAAGTAGAGTGTGTGTGTGTATTTGTGCAGTTTCATAATGGCAGAGCTTTGCATAATTCAAAACAAAATGTAATTTGAGTGTGAAGAGCAGTCTTAAAATTTTGGGGATTTACAAGCTTTAGTAAATCTTTCTAGAATCTGCTGAGCTCCACTGCGTGCAAGAGACATTATAAGGAGTCCTCAATAAGAACTGCCTTGCCAAAGGAATGAGAGAAACATTAATTACAACAGTTCTTGAATAAGTAAACAGGAAATCTTTGGTGGCAGCTTTAAGGCAGGCCAATACCACTGACTACTGCTGATTGCCAAATTCTTGTTAAGACCATTCCCCTCCTGATTAGAAAACCTATTCTCAAGCATTCATCTGGATCAGCTAGAGGTGATAGAGAATTGATTAGTTTCACACAATTCAAGAAAACTTTTCATTTTATCCATCAAGAATTACTGACAAGATAAGGATAGAATTGCCAGAAGGGTATATTTTTTTAGATGGAAAAACAGATTCAACATCACTTTTTAACATTTATTTAAAAGTCCTCCTTTGGACAATGAGATGAAAGCAGCTTCTGGTATCTGGGGATTTGATGAGATGGCCACAGCCAGCTATATCTACCTTCACTAAATTAATGTGTTGTGAATTAACTTCTAAAAGAATAAACTGAAAACCGACAGCTGATAATAAATTAACAACTTGATTGCATCCATATTTACATAGAAGATGGTTCTGCAGATTTAAAAATACTTTTAAGGCTAGGTCTACTATAAAGTAGATGCAAACAAGCAAGCACACAACTAAATGTCAGCAGCAAGATGCAGACAACCCTAACCACTGATAACCATCCACTGATCACTTTGATTTATACATCCCAAATATGCCAGGTCTGTTTAAAAATGCATGCATAACATTATAACCCTACAAACCATTCTACTTATGAGATTGTAGCATCTGTCTCAAATAGTAAGTAATCTGAGAACTTGGAAGACAGTAGTTAGTTAGATAACCCATCAGAAAGTCTAATGAAGTTCACATAAATTTCATATATAGAATTCAAACGTATTTTTTAAAAAAATAATTCACACATCTGACTAGCCAGTAAACTTTTAAAGCTTTCAACTATTTTTTTTAAATAACTGTTGTTCTTTATTGACCTCAGTTGGGTTCTAACACAAATCTATGGTTTGCATGTAGAAGATGTTATAGTGCAGGGCTGTCAAACTCGCATCGTCATGGCATCATCACATGATATATCATGACTTTTCCTCCCTTCACTAAACCAGGTGTGGGCATGGCTAGCACGTGATGCATCTGGCCCATGGGACATGAGTTTGACAGCCCTGGTATAGTGAGATACTGCTGGAGGACTGACCATAAACTATGAACTTTGGCTAGTTTGGCCAATAGTTAGAATCAACCAAGACCAATTATTGATGTTTACATTCTTCACTTTTGATTACCATTGTATCAATTTCTTTTGAAACTATAAATCAGAAAACATCTTGAGCTAGGTTTTGCCATATTCTGCCTATTAAAGGCAAGGGGAGAGAGCAAGGGCAAATGAGGCAAGTTTGGATATGATTCATTCTCCAACTCTGCAGTGCCAAAAAATTTTTTAATGGAAAAGAGTTCCCCTGTCTTTTCCTAATAAGAGCAACATTCAAGGTTCTTTCTCTGGGGAAATGTTCATGCTTTTCAAATTCAGTTCTCCAATCTCTAGCTGCCTAATATCAATAAAAATCAAACTAAACTAATATTGGCTTTTGGAATGAACGAGATAACTATTCTTTATTAAAATCTGCATGGTGTTATCGAACTCATGAGCTGCAAGTTAATTCTGAAATTTCCCTTGACTTCATTGTAATATAGATTCTGCATTGCTCATCATTATATAGTGTTTTAATGGTCTCCTATTAACTATTACTTTCATTTACATGTCATGAGCCTTTCATTGCAACTGCCATAACTGCAACCATTAGTTGTATAATAACACAGAAAAAAGAGCTGTTTTTTAAAAAAAAATCATCCAAAATAAGTGACCTATAAGAAAAAATAATTTTACCATAATAAATGTTCCTAAGAGAAGTATCATTTATTAAACTGAAGAGATGCTGACAATTATATTTTCCATGAAATATTTTAAAATGTTTACTTCTACTTAAATCAAAAGTATTAAGAATCATTAATATTTACTGGTGCATTGCTGCAACGGCTGGAGAAAATATAAACTATTGATTTCAGGGTCTCAGCTGAATTAGCGCTTCGGATAGGTTGAAACGTTTTCTTAAACTTTTCTTAAATATTCCCCATCTTTTCCCCCCATGTTTTTCCTGTTAGCTGTTACTGTATTCCCTTTTCTCCAATTTCTTTGGAGCACTATTTGATTCTGCAGATGGTGACATGAGTAGTCACAGCCATTTGGCAAACACAATGAAATAGTAATGGTCTATGTTTATGAAATGATATTACTAATGCAGGGATATTTGCTAACTGGGCAACAATCAATCCCAATCATAATTCACACAGAACAGAGAAAGATAGGCCAGAGTTGACCAAATAGGTAGAAACTGAACATCATCAGTTGAAGGACAGCCAATTCTGTGTATCTTTACTGGTCACACATGACTGCTGCAAGCACTATCACAACCTCAAATACTTCCTCTTGCAGCTGGTGAAGGAGCATCTTCAGCTAAGCAGCCAGCCTGGGTTGTCTCTTCTATTGACTTTGGAGCCAGGTTATTTCACTGAGTTGCACTAATAGGTCCAGAAGCACTACAGTTCCTTGGGTGTAGTGCAGGGCCACAGTATCAGCCAACCCCATATATTCATTCATTCATTCATTCATTCATTCATTCATTCATTCATTCATTCTTTCATTCAATTTCTATAGCTACCCATCTCACTCTGATTGACTCCCATCTGACTATGCTTCTTGGCAGACCTGGCTGATTCAACCCCAGATGTTATGCTTAATGTTGTATGACATTACACTCATGAAGCTTATGAGATTTCATAGCCTTTGTTTTCAGTGTCTTGATTTTTCTTACTGAAGTGGTGCATTTTATCACCTGCAGCAGTACTGATGTAAACATGCTAAACTCGATATTCCTTTTCCTATCACACAAACATTTCCATTTGGGCCAGACATGGTATTTCAGTATTTAGTGTGAGAAATTAAGTGCAGAATCCTGTACAGAAAGAGTATTAAATCAGTTTCCTGATCTCCATTATGACCCTTTTGTCTGGGCTATTTCAGAAGAATTGAACGTCCATGCACTTAACTAACCTTTCCCAAAATATAATTTAGATTCTGTTAAGCCATAGTACAATGATTACCTGTCACTGCATCACCTGAATAATATAGGAGATAAGGGAAAAACAGGACTGTGCTGCTGTGCTGAGTTGGAAGATATCGTTTTAAAAACATTGGATTCCTCCCGCCCCCCCCAAGGCTGGTAAATTGACCTCAATAATCTATCCCACCTCAAATAAAGCAAGAGGCTTCCTCTAAGCAATATATTATAGCCAAACAATTAAATGTATCAAATGCAGCTCCAGGGTACTAATGCACCCCCAGATATTGGATAAAGGGTAGAGTAGAAAGATAGCACAGCACATATTCTTGAATTATTTTCAACAGTGGTGATCAAATTCCTTTAATAGAGAATTATTTGAAAATATCTCACAATCATTGGGGGTTCACAGCTCAGCCATCTAATTTTAAAATATTTATCATTTTATGTAATTTAAGTTTTTGGTATCTGGGTCAGAAAGGAGACTATTAAAATGAATGATGTATTTTCATTGAAAGTACAACAAAAAATACGGGACGGAACTGTTAATTAACAGCAGATCAACACTAATCAAAAGACCGTTTCTTTGTGTCTGAATCTTTATGAAGATCAATGTTTAAAAGTAAAATTTGAAATCATACTTAAATAAATTGATGACTTTTTCCTTTAGTGAAAGTTGATTTCCTCCAATTTACAGCATTGTAATAGATCAGAAACCACAATAACAAATTAATATTTTACATTGAAAACTTATATAGGAGTCTAAATGGAGTAAACTACTCCAAAGAGAGATGGGACAAACATGCACATATTGTTATGATGAGTAGCCCAAATGAATCCATTGCAGAATAAAAATCTCTTCATTGAAGTTGTAGACCACAATTTACCATACTGGTCCAATGTAGGTTGAAGGTCCTTGGTGCTCTCTGAGTTTGTTTGTTTTCTTGCAGATGTTTCATTACCCAAACTACAGCACGTCATCAGTGAGCACTGTTACCTACCTAATATCAGTACTCACTGATGAACTGTAGTTTGGGTAATGAAATAGCTGAAAGAAAACAAGCAAGATCATAGAGCACCAAGGACCCTTCATTTCAGTCCTGAGCCCCTGGAGTTGTGGGTTTGCAATTTAAAAAGAATTATTAATTCTGATTAGTTAGCTATTATCCTTCAAATCCAATCGAACAATAAACCTAGGTTTTTGTTTGAATCTTCAAAATTCATAGTTCTACTGCCTATTTGCATATAATTTATATCAATAAGGTACATTACACTTTAGGGGGTAGAGATGAGTGCATTAAAACATCTAACAGCAGGGATATCTATTGGAATATGAATTGGTTGTCCCATATTTCTCATTGGCAGTGTGTTTCTTCTTGTGAAAGATGGATGGGAAGACACTTTCTATCTACACTCTACAATTAAATGGCTTCCATCTGGATTGTTCTCCATATATATATCAATTTTTTAATTTTGATTTTACAATCCTGTGAAACTGTGGAGCCCACAGTTAGTATACACTGGACTAGTGCCAGATTTCTTTCTACTTCTACATAAGCAAGCTATATGTTTTCACAGTGATTCTGTACTGATCACAATTTTTTTAAAAAAACTTATTTTCCTGAAAATGA